TTTATCAATAGGAAAAATATATAAACCAGCTAATTCTTTTCCTTGCTCAACAGAGACAAGAGTAAATGCATCGCCAAAATCCATTTGCATTGTACTACTTTTTGATTGAGAATATACTTCACTACCTGATCGAGACATTCGATATGATCGATCATATTGTAGGTAATGTATTTGTAAATTAATATCTCCACAAATAAGTTCAGCTTGATCAATAAATACAGGTGATTTTCCATCATTTCGAATATTAGCCATAGCAATAAGATCACTTTGATTATTATTTAAATTTAATTGATATTGTGTTCGCCAATTAAGATTTGATTGAAGATAACTTACAAATACTTTTGAATTTGAACTTGTATATGTAAAATCAACATAATATTTTGGTTTTGCTGGTTCTTCAAGATAAAAAATTTGATTACCTGGTACAGTAAAATATAAAGTTTGTTGACCATCAATTGTTTCATCTTGTATTTTAACTAAATGATTTATTTCATCAATAAGAATTCCTTTAATTAATTTAATCGTTTTATCTGATGATAATGGTGAACGAATATAAACTTCAGTACCATTAAGTGTTTTCTTTTGTTCTGTTATTGTTTGTAATGTAATATTAATATTTTCACCGAAAAGTGTTATTGAATCAGATCGAATATGATTCCAATCATCTTCAATAAATTCAAGTGGTAATTTTTCAAGAGGTCGAATTATTTCTGCTAGATTAGAATAAATTCGTATAGTATAAGGTACGTTGTTAATATTTGCACTAGTTAAAAGTGCGTAAAGAAGAACAAGCCAAAGAGAAATCATTAATATGAATGTGTACAACGAATAACACGTACTTGTTTTCGTCTGCTTCTTTATATATATATATCAAGTTATACATAGTCTACCGTCCTTTTTGTTCATGTAATCTACTGTTATATGTGGGCGTATTTTGCCGAACATTCTGTTTTTTCTTATTCTACATGAATCGTTTAGACATAAACATTGTTGTTATGATTTATTCGAAGCAAAAAAAAAAAAAAAAGAATAAAATATTTTAAATCATATTAAAAACGCAAATTGTTGGTATTTATATGTTAATTTTATCATTGCATAGTTACCATAAAGGAT